AAAGAAAAGAAGAAAAGAGGGCACCCATACATCAATATGTTCTGGTTGATTAAAGTTTGACAACAGATAAAAAAAAAACAGTTCAAGCAGGCAATAGAAAGGCTCGAATATTATGGGAATTTCAGCAACCTCACAAGATTGGGATTTGCCCATCCAGCAAGCTGGCGGATAGCGGGGACAACATAGAGATTGAAACAAACCACACAGCTTACTGGATTGCCAGGCAAGCCAAATGCAAGAACTTTGTTTCTTGTTGTATTCTCTACTGGCTTTAACTTGATCTCTGCAAATGTTGTAGGTTTACCGGGTTTCATTTGAACCTGAAATGACAATCACACCAGACTAAGATACAATCAAAATGTTTCCTTGATTCCCAGGAAATCATATTAATTACTGAAACTCAAAAACAGGATTAAGAGCATACAGATCAACAAAGATCAACAAATAAAGCCTTTTCTCACAACAAAAGATTTTTTTTTTTTCCCATAAAGATATGCCAATCCTGTTACCTTGCTGAAGTGTACAATCCCTTTCTTTTCAAGCAGTGGCTTGACAAAATCTTTGTCTCCCATGGAAACACCTCCAGAAGTTAGGAGGATATCTATCCCAGAAGCAAAAGCACCGTCAAGAACATTCTCCAGTTGTTCTTCATCATCTTTAACAATTCCTAGGTCAAGAACTTTGCATTCTTGCCGCATTGCTGCTGCCAAGAGCATTGCACGGTTGGAATCCCGAATCTGCAAAAGTGTTGAACCAATTTGAAGTCTTGAACTCAAAACTTGCAATCATGGAAGATATGAGGCAATCTAAATAAACCTAAAGCAGTCTTTCATGCCATTGGTTGTTTTTGAGAACTTGAGCCCTTCCAACAGCTGTATATGACACATATGTGCCTTCCAATGGCTAAAAAGAATTTATTCATCAAAAATAAGATATGAATTATGACACACAAACTGTCACACTTTCTTTGAGAGGAGGTTTAGAAGAGATATAAGAGGAAAGAGAAAGAAACAGCTAGCATTAATCTTATCTCATGTCTGTAATATTATTAACATGCATAAGAGTCATTGAGAAGGCATTCATGTCTAGAGAAAGGCCAGTATCATGTTAACTGGACATTAAGGTTCGACTCTTCAAATATTTACACTATGCAAGTTCTCCAATATTTAAATGATACCTGCCCACGACTTAGTGACCCTGTCATTGGTTCCACTAGTTCATCTCCTGTAGAAAGCACAGCAATTGTTGGTGTCGGATAGACCTGTATATCAACAATATCCATCAGGCTTTCACACATTTACCAAACACAAAATAATAGGCACTTTATTACCTTCACCATCATAACACCCACTGTAGCTAATAGGCCAATTTCTGAAGCACCTATTCTTTCTCCAGACTTTAAAACTACAGCATCTTTCTGAATGTCAAATCCCTACAAGACAGATATTTGTCTGAATACTACATTAACTTATTCCTGAGCAGAGAGCTGATGGAACAAAAACAACTTTTTTTTGTGGGGATGGTGGGTTGCCTGCATGTTGCGAGAAAGGAAGGGGAGTTGGAGAGGAAACAACAAAATCATACCACTGGTCGAATCTCAACACCTTTGCTAACTTGCACTAATATCCTTACACGCTTCGATTCAGCTGAAGGACCTTTAATCTGTTCAGTGTCCTCAACTTGAACAACAGCATCAGCACCATCAGGTATTGGTCCTAAGAAGCAAAGAGAAACAAAACACTTGTAAGAAAGAGGTGAAAAAGTCAAAAAACATGTAGAAGTACTGTACTTGCAGATAATGCTAGACTGCCTCCACTGACCATTGCAAGCAAAGGAGCTCATTTTGGAGTAGAGATGAAATTATCTATAACAAAAACCTATACTTTTTGCATAACACAATGCATTTATACATACAATTACAGAATGAATAGACCTACCTCCAGTTGTTACATATGCAACAGTGCCAGGAGTCACCATCACACCAACCCCATCATTTCCAGCTCTTGATTCAGTAATTACAGGATATTCCCCAGGTCCATCTGAAGCAACTACTGCATACCCATCCTACAATGGACCATTTATTTGCCATGAGCATCCTCCAAACTAAGTACAGAAAGAAAATTCAATATGGTATTGCATAAAATTGAGCTTATGATGAGCTTAAAGAACCTCAGAAACATAAAAGATGAGAAATTTGGAATTTTGATAACCTTGACTGAAGCCGGATAGGGAGGCAAAGGATCAGGAGCACGAATATCCTCTGCCAACACCTTCCCGAGAGCTTCTAGAAGGGGCACGGTGACCGGCGGCAGCCGCTGCGCCACACTGAGCACTTTACAGAGAGCCTCCTCCGCCGATATCATCGCCGGTTTGACTCCGACGCCAGTCAAACTATGGTTCGCTTCTTGCATTTCAACGAGATTCTGATCGAAACGCCAGCAGCGCAGGGAAGCGCAGCCATTCACTGATTTTAAGT